TTGTTTTGCGCGTGTGTGTGTGTTTATGTGTAATGTCTTACTCATATTGTTAAATAGTCTTCAACGAACAGGATTCACAATATAATATATATATATATATATAAAATAAAGACATTACCTGTTCTTTATCTTTATGACTTGTAGGCTGTCTTTATGATATTGTACCTACAATTTAATCAATCCAGCCAGTTAAAATATCTTTTTAACTCTTGAGCATATATAAAAGTTGCTGTGTTAAAAACTGATGCGGCTTCTACCTTGTGACAGCCAGAATGTTGTTTGTAGCTCAAGATGAATTGATACCATTCGTGAGTGAGGCATTAGACACTTTTCATATATTATAATTCAACAAATAAGTATTTTACAGGTACGGGCAATCGCTTTTTGGGAACATCCGAAATTACTTTTTGGCAGATGATCATATTTTGGCACACCAGAAGATATAAAACACAGACAGAACCACAAGATAATTAACACATAAAGAGCAAATGTCTTAAACCATGTCGGCAGTTGGGTAAATGTAAATTACGGCTTTTTAACAAGTTCTGTTCCAGCCTTCGAACATCCTCCCCCAGCTGACCTGTTATGCCGGAAGGTGACGACAGCATCGGCTGTGCCAGTCCTCTGTCACACCGTCAACTCTGTGCATGCAAGACTCCGCCCAAAATCTCCGCTTTTTACACTAAAGAAAATAATTATCCGAGCAGCAGCATTTGACAGAGGAAGCGGAGGAGGAGAGGAGAGCTCCCCTGGGATACTCAAAGGACTGTGGACACGCTCTGTTCTGCGATGCTACGGTAGATTCTACAGCCCAGAATACTGGATAATCTTTAATTCCAACTGGGTACTGGGTAGCAGACCTTTGTGGTAAAATCGCGCACACACGCACACACACACACACACACACACACACACACACACACACACACACACACACACACACACACACACACAGTGAGAGACAAACAAGGGAAACAGAAGCACAGAAGGAGAATGCAAGGTTTTTTAAGCTAAAATTCTGTGCTGATGAAATGACCCTTACAAAAAGTATCACTGGTTAATGTTTGCCGTTTCGGTTTTGTTTCTCCACCATATACAAAATTGTATCATGTGATTTAAAACGTTTAAGAAGGTGGTTCACAACCAGTGGCATGCCAGGTTTTCCAGCAAAGACAGGATTTGCAAACAAATTGGTATTTTATAAAAAATAATTAATATTATTTGTGTATTTTTTGTGCAGCAAAAGAGACACAGCTTAAGACAAGATTGAAGAGAGAAGAATTCGCACAAAGCACCACTGACTTGACAGCAGCTCACAGCCATAATGTTGCACTACAAAGTGAACCCCAACACCATGAAGTTCCTAGTGATCCTATGTGGGGCAGCATTGTTGCTGGTCAGCGGCTGGTACATGCAGCTCAGCCTCTATGACCCACAACCCTCCAATGACAAAGTCCACGTTCTATTGTTGTCATCATGGAGATCAGGCTCATCCTTCCTGGGCCAGGTATTCAGTCAGCACCCGTCTGTCTTCTATCTTATGGAGCCTGGCTGGCATGTGTGGACCCAGCTGAGGCAAAATGGTGCACAGGCACTTCGAATGGCAGTGAGGGATCTCTTACGGAGCCTGTTCCAGTGTGACTTCTCAGTGATGGAGTCCTACCTTCCGGAGAACCAGAAAGAGTTGTTTATGTGGAGTCACAGTCGAGCTCTGTGCTCACCCCCAGCCTGTCCTCTCATGCCACGTAATCAGCTCAGCAACAAGACACACTGCCAACAAAATTGTAAACCTCGGGACCTGAAGATTGTAGAGCAGGTGTGTGGCTTTTACTCTCATGTGGTGTACAAGGAAGTGCGCATCTTTGAGCTAGAATCCCTCTACCCACTATTGCTGGACCCAAACTTAAATCTCCGCATCATCCACCTGGTCCGAGACCCACGGGGAGTGATGCGGTCTAAGGAAGAGGTAGCTGGATACTTAGCGAGTGATAACGCGATCGTCTTGGAGCAGAAACCCATCAATGAAGCAAAGGTACAGTATCAGGTCATGCAGGAGATCTGTCGAAGCCACTTGCGTATCAATAAGAGGGCGGTCCTGAAGCCTCCTCCGTTTCTAAAAGGCCGCTACAAACTGGTTCGCTACGAGGATGTGACGCGCAACCCAGTCAAGGAGATCAAATCCTTGTATCAGTTTGTAGGTCTGGAGATGACCACACAGCTGGCCACATGGATCTACCAGGTGACCCACGGAAAAGGCAAAGGCTCCATTGAAGAGGCTTTTGACATCACATCGCGAAGCGCCACTGACATCTCTCAGGCTTGGCGCACCATGCTGCCACACAACAAGGTCAAACGAGTACAGGAAGTGTGTGAAGAGGCCATGTCTTATCTCGGGTACACGATGGTAAACAGTGAAATAGAGCAGAAGAATCTCTACGTAGATCTGCTGGTACCACAAGAACAGCTCAGCTGGTCACCTGATAAAACACAGCACCTGGACAACAGTTACAACAAGAATGACAAAGACTTTCTGACAGATGGACCGCACAAAAAACTACATTAGGGTACGACTGTTAAAAACAGAGAACACTGTCATAATGTCCATTTTTAAAGTGCGGACACTGTAACAAGACTGAAATGTGAAAAGGCAGCACAGTATTCTGTTAATGTACATTTAGTGTTTGCGTGCCACAATCACATGACTTTTCCTGAAGTGTCTCTATAAGTAGACAAAACTTATAGTTATTTATTTATTCATTGCTGCAAAAAGAGATTGTAAAGTACACCAACCAACCTGCCATAAATGTTGCTCATCTGATATCAGTCTGAAAACAAATGAGTCAAGTTGACAGTTATACATCTTTTAATACAGCAACCAACTCTGAGAAATTAATGAAAATCAAATATCTCTTGCTGTCTGCACAGACAGAATAACATCACATATAAACATCATAGAACATTTAATCTGTGATGGTACATTTAGGCTTGACATTGAAATGACTTGAATGGGTAGCAAATGTTAAATCATGTTGATTTATCTCTTCAGAGTAAGAGAAAGTGGGTAAATGAACTACTATTAATTGTGTTTAGGGTGATATCTGGGAAAATGTTGATAGTGATTTTTTTGAGCACATGAAAAATTGCCAAACACTTACATTAAAGATGGACTTCAGTCACAACTTTGTGAGAGTTTTGGTTTTTCTACATGACTGAGTGTTCTGAATGAAACAATATCTTCACTTGTACATTTTTGGAAATTTGCTATATTTTGCAATATTTTACATGATAAGCACTCAAATTTGAGGTTTATTCAATAAATGGAAACTTTAAATGGCTTATTCTACTCAAACACTGGTTTTGAATCTCTTTTGCACTGGTTTGGGTCTCTTTTGTATCAGCAGAGTTGAGGTTTTAAATACACACACATAAGATCACAGCAAGGAACAAGTGCTCTCCATTTCAGAGAGACTTAAATGGACAGGCAGTTCATGAAGCTCACAGTACACTGAAAAAAAGGCCATGTTGGATTGCTTTGATTCAATAGTGGACATTGGTTGCACACAAATGTTTTTCTTTGGCAGAAACTTAAACAACTGAGTTAAATCAACACAACTTTTTCATATTCAATAAACCTGTGCATTTTGTGTTCATAAAACGCAATTGAAACATGTTTAGATGAAGTAAGTTGAGC